TTTTTGCGTTTATTATGAGACATCCTGTACATCGACGTAAGGCTCCGTTTGGTTTTTTTGGGCCCTAACGACGGAGGGTCCAAAATTTACAGGTCATTTAAGACCTTTTCGTGCCCAGCATAGTCGTCTCACGCAGGGAATTTCGGAAACCGACAGGAGCTCGCCTGTATATGGAGGTTTGCATACTGCGTGACCAGATAGTCGAGTTTGTTACCATTATCTCCTGTTCTGCCAAACCACTTCTATTGGATTCATTGACTTATGCAGTTTGATCCACTTTGGCGGTTCGAAAGGCACATGCAGAATTCCGAAGTTTAGTCAACAAAATCAGTCCATTTTTATACGCTCCAGGTGGATTTAAAAACGCACAGCGGTTGGTTCTTTATGGGGTGAGTTTCCAAACTCGAAGCACACCTGAGACGGTCAGTAAGACGGGTACAGTAAGACGGTCCTTATATCAGCTGAACAAAACTGATAGAATATCAGGTGATCTTTTTTGAAATCAATGATTCAAATTTTCCATTTTTCCATTTTAATTTCGTGTTTGCGTTATACTCAAAGTCGAACCTCACACCACGTTAAAACAACCATTTTTCTTCTTGTAGAAGGCCTGTTTACCCAAATATAAACAATTTTGTTCGAAAACTGGCAATTCGCCGTGCTGAAATACTCTAAACTGACATATTTCAAGGCCATAAGCTGGCGAATTTGGCCAGCCCCCTCGAGATCTGATCCCACCAAAAATGCTAATAAGAAAGCAACACAGGAGTAAAATTCTCTATCATTCTTCTCAACAACTTTGTACAAGAGTGACTGACGTTTCTAGCGAAGATTAGCAACGGTTTTTCCAAATCTTTTCTTCATGGTTTTGTTTAGCAAGTTGGTTCATTAAAGCTGTCGTTCAACATGCAAAAATCAAATTTTACCCAGCTGCATAGTCGTCCACTAGAGTCATTTGTCGTCCGTCCTTCGGATATGACTTCACCACAATGCTGTCCAGTACTTGGGGTTGACCAACTGATGTCTCGACATCTTGCAAACTCATAAATTCACACAACCGAATTCTGGAGATATATTTTCTCAGTGGAAGACCAAAAAACCCGTATCATAATTTTCACGTGAAACCTGTCACCAGCGCCAGCAAGTCGGGAAAATAATTTCATCAAAATGTATCATTTCCGTCTCTAACGCTGGTGCGAGGACAAACTGCGTGTATTCGTTTCGCTTTCGATGCAAATACAGTTGTAGCTGTCATAACTTTGTGATTGTAGTGATTGTAGTTATCAAGTGGTAGATAACCTGTTCGTCGGGCTTAACAATAGGCTTCTGGAAGTTCCTTAAATAAGTGAGGGGCACCGTCAACACGCGGCTGGATCGGTACTGAACAAGCAACATATGCGAAACACACTCATTTGCAAACTAATTTGGTTTTCCGAGAGACTGACTTGGAACCCTCGTGGAATGTTCATGATGACTGAATGTGCGGCACCAGGCCGCTTCATGTTCCAGTCGCTACGATATTAGAGATATCGCGATACATGTATATTCGTAATGCACTAATCATATGTTTTCCCACGTATACAGTAAACTATATGCTCTGGCTCCAATTTAGTATATCCACACAGATGATTTCATTCATTTCACAACACAGTTAATTTATTTCTTCGCCCTGTTTTCAAACAACAGAAAATCTGTTCTTCGCCGCCACTTGGCTCGGATATTCAAACGCCTGTGTGAACCCAATCATCTATTCCGTACTGAACAGCAAGTTCCGAAGAGCGTGCATCAAACTGTTGTGCAACTGTTGCAGGCCTAAGGAAAAAGACGAACAGTATGGCTTAGCCAAGCTACGATTTACCGGAAACACCACCATTCAGCTAGCACTGGGTACGATTCCTTGGAAGAACCGAGATTTTAACGCATGTGTTGGAAAAGAGGAGAATACTACCAACCGGTGAAGGCCAAAACGCTGGCGAGGCTGTTTATCCTTCGAACCGAGCCATTACTGCGTTCGACAATAGCACCAATGGTGAAAAAATTATGCCAAAGAGTTTCATTCATAACTATCTTTTACTCTCATTCGCTTGTCATTGATCGTTCAATTAGTTCAGTAATATAACATCGTTATTGATCTCCCGACCCTTCAACGTCTAACCTGTTTGCTTCCAATCTCGATAACGGATGCTTGTGAGCTAGTTGACTGGTTGGCGAACAAACCACAGAAATATTACATGAACTTGTTTTTGGAAAACCTGGAACACAAATCAAGTGGAGGCGCCCTGTGCGAACCGAGTTGCGAAACGTATTGATCAGAAACGTTCATCACTGTCATGAGAAAAAATAACGTTTCCCACTGAAATATCATCAACCCTGATTCAGAACAAACAATCACAACCGTAAGGAGTAGCTGAAAATGGCCATTCTGAGCAATTAGTAATTTGATTTACAATGAATAATTACTCAGGCTTCGCGATGCCCAGTGTGATTAGTATCTGACAAGTAGCTAAGACTACAAACATCGTTGTATGTTTTCGTCTGAGAGTCTGGATCAAGTATTCACCTGTTAGATAAAAAGACTAATCCCATTTGTTGTTGTACTTCTCCGAAGGTGATTTTAGTCTTCAAGAGGAGCCACTGTCTGACAAATCCTGATCCAACACGAAAAAAACATGATTCCGGAGGGATGTGCATTAAATTTGAACCCTGTGCTTTACAAAGTAGGACGGGTGGATGATTGGGGTCCTCAACCAAAGCTTGTAGCTCAGAGTTTTGGCCGTACTTTAGCATCAAAATAACATTACATTGCGTTTTTTCAGAAACAATTCACCATGCATGTTCCAACCCTCAATCTGGAAGGGCCGGGAGACCTCTAACCGGTGACCAACTTAATATAAGACTCTGTGGACATTCTCAGTACAACTCAACAGGGCCGCAGAGATACACAAATCTTTACAACAGTGTAAGATCAAGTCACTCGATAAAGGCTATCATGGCATCTTTACCGTGGCTCACATGGTTAGCTTTAGGCACATCCTAACTCGAGAAAAGTACGTTCACCAAAAGTTCTGGCAACTTGAAAAATACCATGAAGACAAAAGTCGTTGGATGACTGGGCTTTCGAAATTCATTATCATCCATCCTTCAAGCCCGGTGTCTGAATTCAAAGTCAGTGAACTGTCGGATTTCCCGCGGGTGACCTGTGGCTACCTGGAAAGAAAGCCTGAATGTTTTTTCGCAGTGATCGTATTGTCAGAACTGGTGATCGAGATTTATGCGGACATTCAGTAACAAGGCCGAAAGCACAATCTATGCCCGCCTGAACAGTCTTGTTGGAGAAAAAAATATCTTGTGTGCTTGACTCTTTTAGTATAAAGACAGGACGTTCCTGCTTACATCTGGATTGAATTCTATGCTCATGATTTATCAAGTGTCAGGACCTCCATGGCGATCAGTAACATTTGGTAGAATGGTGCAATCTCGTCACTGCTTGTCTAAGTACTGCGACAGTCAGTTGGAAAAGAAAACAGCTTTTAAGAACGACAATGTCTGTCTAATCGGCTGTTCAACAGTAGATTCTGTTAACCAAAAAAAACGCCCATGCATCGGATGGTTTTAATGACTTCGGAAACTTTTAGGAATCTTCCTATGGCTGTTATCGGCTTTTTTTTTTTTTTTTGTTCAGAGTTTTGATCAAAACTTCATAGTTAGGACAGAAACGTAGTTTCAGCGGTCCAAAACAACCAATCAGCGATCAAAATTCTCATTTGCTTGCTCACAGATACTGGTATTCACTCGTATTTCCACGCTATTAAAACCTATGATCGAGCGGGGGACGGAAAACTCTCAAGCATTTTCTGTTAACCGGTCGGGCTCAGGAAAACTTGGGCGTTATCCTAATTGAAACATAGTTAAAATCATTTCTAGACTCTCACCTCAGCTACACTTTTCACTTGTTTCACCTCGTTTTCTACGTTTTTCAGAGAAAAAGAGTTCACTATATTGTGTAAATTGGTGAGTATAACCCACTGGTTTGAATAGATCACGAAGGTCGGAAACAACCGATTGTTTAGCTGCATAACTATTTTATACGGCACATTTGTGCTTCATACTTCGCCGGCACTTAGCTTCAAGGATTACACCTATTTATAGCGGTGTTAGAAGCCTAAACTTTCGGCAAATGATTAGTTTTAGCCAAGTTTTTCTGAGACATATGGGTCGAATGACAAATGCCAAATTAGCGTCTATGTACGCCCATGCATTCCTATGGGCGTGGAAATTATTCAAGGCGATAGTTTGCGTGACATTTTGGCTGAAGATACTTTCATCCAACCCGATTATGCTTGAGTCAGCTGAGATTTCGGAAGCCAGGCCGTCTGCCACTAGGTTAACTTATCTTCCGTGAACATCTGTCCAATAATTGGTTTCAGGTAGTGACGTATTAAAGAGAATTCCCGCGACCAAGTGGTGTGCATACTTAAAGCAAAGGTCTATTTGTTTATTGCTGACAGTCATTGCCGATGGCTCAGTAAACTAGAAACCATTCTTGCCAAAGTTTAGAAGTTCAGCAGACACAATTTGAAAGCACTAAACCCCCAAGTGAGCTAAGGAGAAATTGGAAACTCAATATGGAACTTTAAAAGATTTTAAAGGGGGATTTTAAAATTAGCGACGGCTGAAAAAGCACCATAAAGCCGGTGAAATCTCTCACACAACGGTAGATTTTTAAACGCAAATCGTGGAATATTTCCGGGCTATTTTGGCGACCAACGCTGATGTCTTAGTGAGGTTATTAAACAAAAATATTCTGTCAGAAAAGCAGCCTATTCTGTTTTACTATTTTCTTCGCTTTAATTGCCCTAAGACTGTGACTGTAGACCACATCGATGTAGTCAGGAAAGCCCACTTAAGTGGCTCGCAAATTCATAAGCCAAAAATTGTGGATTCTTGAGATTTATCAAAAGATGCGTTACTACATGTATAAAATACGTAATAAAACGGGTACAAACCTCAACTTATAGGGCATTCCGTCTACACTGTTCCACGAAGTGGTGTAAGTCCAAAGGAAGCCCAGAGAAGATGGCCAATCAGTCTTAGTTTGCGGCGCACACCTGGGTACAACACGTGGTAACGCAAATGGTCAAAAAACGCGCGTAAACGATGGCTGACCAAATTGGTTCAAGTCAAAGGTTAAAGTTCTTGAGAGTTCACAAATGTATATCGGGTCTATGAGGTGGACGCAGTAAACAGCAGCATACAAGGGAAGAGTCTGACCAGGGGAAAGGAAGTACAGTGATACGTATTCTATCTGAATTTTCACTTGTGTGCAACTTATTGATGATTCACGTTTTTTCAAGGGATCCATTCTCAAGAGCATGTGGTATCAGTGACCTCCAGAAGCCATTGATCAAGTGATGTAATGTTTCCTCTCCACATTCCACATCGTTCTGTCAAACCGTTGCCGTTTTAACTGTGACCTCGCTGGTGTGAGCAGAATATGCTCAGCAACTGTTTTTGTTGTAACCAAAATGCTGGTAGAATAAGTTTATTAAGAAAGCCAACAACAGATTCAAATCTGAAATACTACATATTCTTAGTGGACGCTCAAGAATAGGCAGTAACAACCAGGTGATGGTTATATTCCAAATTTGTTTCAGCATAAAGTGAATCTTTTATGCCGAATTCGATCGTTAATAAAACAAATAACACTGATATGCTACACGCCTCTTCACCGAGTCAAAAATGGAATTATGAGCATCTGCTGGCTGATAAACATTTATGGTTAACTGATCACTTAAAGCATCTTAATTTTTTCTCATTTTAGACGTACCACACTACTCATAGGGTTGCTGAAATTATTTTCGACAGCCCACAACCAGTTTCACCCTTCTTTAGACTTATCACGTAGGCGCAGTCGTCGAGTTTCCGTGAGCCTTATGTTCCACTTGAACCCGGGTTGCACAAAGTTAGCGAAATACACTCATTTGCAAACAAATTTGATTCTGCGATAACCCACCTGGAACCCAGCTGAATCTCTCTTTATGATATTTCTTCTCATCTTGTTCATAGAGTAAAGATTGCACTATGTTCCACGCAACACTGTCTGTTGAATCTTAGTGAAACAATCATTTCACGTTCCTCCACTACTAATGAACTGGCTTACATTCAATGAGGGTGGTTGTTTTAAAGTCGACGTCAAAATAAATACTACTTACTACAGAATGTGGATGCGTGGTCTATCAACGAAGAGCGACTTTGGAAGACACATAAATGACACCAAAGCGCTGAATTTTAAATGATCATCTGTCGTTGTTTTTCGCTGCATATATATGGTTGAAACCGTTAAAAAAAACTAAAAGGCGGGAAGCAACAGCTTGCATCTGTCACAAGAAAAAGGCGGTCGTATTTGGAGTTTAACGGGCTAGACAATGTGTTTGTGTCAATGAAATAGACTCATTTGCAAACCAATTTGTTTTGGACGGGATAATAACCTGGAACCAAGGTTAATCTCTCAGATATGAAGTTTTCAAGCGACTGAATGTGCTCAGAAACATCATAAAAGAGAGATTCGCTTATTTCGTGCAATTTGAGTTCAAGTGTAATATAAGGTTGATGAAATCTAGGGAACTTAGTCTATGTGATAAGCTCCAAGAAGGGGCTCATCAGGTAGGCGCAGCCCCCGATAACATCATACACGAGAGATTCAGATGGGATCCAGATGAGTCTCGCAAAGCCAATTTTGTTTGCAAATGAGTGTAGTTCGCCAATTTCGTGTAATTCGGGTTCATACAAGACATAAGGTTGACGGAAACTCGGGGGCTGCGCCTACTTGATGAGCCCAAGAAGGGCGAAACCGGTCGCGGGCTGTCGAAGAATTTTCAGCAACCTTGTGAGTATAGTATTACGTCTATAAATCTATCACGATATCTCGAATATCATACCGAATGAAACATCAGACGGCCTGGTGCACACACCATTAACGGGAGATTCACCCGGGTTCCAGGTAAGTCTCTCGCAAATTTGTTTG